CGAGTAGACTGCGGGGCCCCCTCGGGGAAAATCGAGGTCTGGTTTTACTCGTAGGATGTCTCATCCGGTGTTGCCCTGAGAACGAGATATGTGCAGCTCCTATCGGGATTGTCGGCGCATCGGGCGGCTTTGCTGGTCTTGTTTTACCATTGTCAATATGTCTTGTAAACCAGGATTCCGAGTCTGATCGGGACTTCCTGGGAGAAGGTATAACCTTCGTTGATCGCGAGAGCTTATCATGGGCTAAGTTGGGACACCCCTGTAGGGTATAAACTTTCGAAAGCCGTGCCCGTGGTTATGGGCAGATGGGAATTTGTTAATGTCCGGTTGTAGATAACTTGACACCTGATTCGAATTAAAACGCATCAACCGCGTGTGTAGCCGTGATGGTCTCTTCTCGGCGGAGTCCGGGAAGTGAACACGGTTTTGGGTTATGTTTGACGTAAGTAGGAGTTCAGGATCACTTCTTGATCATTGTTAGCTTCACGACCGTTCCATTTGCTCTCTTCTCGCTCTTATTTGCGTATGTTAGCCACCATATATGCTTAGTCGCTGCTGCAACCTCACCACTTTACCCCTTCCTTTCCCATTAAGTTTTGCTAGTCTTGATACCCATGGTAATGGGATTGCTGAGTCCTCGTGGCTCACGGATTACTACAACAACAGTTGCAGGTACAGGTTTTGCGCCGATCATGACGCGAGAGCGATGTTTGCTTGTTTTGGAGTTCTTCTTCTGCTTCTTCGATCAGGGGATAGGTTCCAGGTTGGCAGCCTGGGCTAGCAGGGTGGATGTCGTTGAGTTTCTATTTGTGTTTCATTCGTAGTCGGATGTTGATCTTATGTAAGATGTATTGATGTATTCGTGTGGCATTGTATGCCTTTTGTATGTATCCCCATCTATTATGTAATGTTGATGTAATGATATCCACCTTCCAAAAGCGTTTCAATATGCGGTTCTATCCTTGGTGGGACCTTCGAGTCTCTTTAGGATAGTATCGCATATTGTGCGTGACACAGGAGTAGGGTTTTACCTCAATCAAGAGGGCCCGAACCTAGGTAAACATCGTGTCTCCTGGCCTCCGGTTACCATTGATCCTTAGACGCATAGCTTGGGCCCCCCTACCCGAGATCTGCCGGTTTTGACACCGATAGGCTCCTGACTAGCCGCTGCCGTAATGATCTCACCGGTCTGGGCTTGCAAAAGCTTAAGCTTGGGCAAAGTCACTACCACTGCCTCCATCAAGATGTGGCGGTGTCATTTTTAATAAGTTGCAATGTAGTTGTACTTCAGCTCACTTACCTTCAAACACTCGTGTTGTTTTGTTCCAACACTTTGATTTTTTATTTGCTTTTGTTTTTCCTTTTTTTCGTTGCTCGTGATTTTTCATTTGCAAAATTAGCTTTCAAAAAAAACCTAAAAATAGAATAAGTGTTGCTTTGCTCTTTTCTTTTGCCTCTGGATTTCTACTTCAATATTGTTTATATTTCAAAAGAGATGATCTGCGCCAGACAACAAGGAATGCAATTTTAAGGAAGAGAAGTGTGTACATTCATGATCGTGAAGGTATGTCCTATGACTCCCGTCTTTTGCACTTGAATTACTTAGAATAGATGTAGTAGTATGTGTGATGTGTTCAAGTGGTAGTAAGTCTTGATAGTTAAAATAAAGGTTTTGTTCTAGTAGCTAATATAGTTTGGTAGCCTTTGTTCTATTTAATCTAGATAACCAAGACTTTTCATGAGACTTTTTTTTTGAAGAAAGTGATGTTAACAAAGAATAACCATGCACAAGAAAGTTTTCAAAGACTTGGATTTTGAGAAAAAATATAAATAAAATGATGTTAGAGAAACTCAACCCCATAGTGTTAATTTTAGTAGACTCTGTAACACTTGTGGATTATATTGTCTAGAGAAACATAGTTGAAAGGTGAATGAGATTATGCCAAAAATCTATGTTGTATTTCTTACATGGTGCTTCGACTTCCCACTGGTGCTACAACCTTACTACTGTATGCACATGTATGTGCGTAAATGTGGTTTCATCACCTTTCTTGATGTTATGCTGAGAACTCAGATGGCCAATGAACGATCCACCAGAGTTTCACCTTGGATTTTGGCTATGAGTTTGTTACCCTACGTAGTGGCAACACTGCATCAAATATTATTCAGATTTCTATTTAATGAATGTGCATGTGGTAAATAACAGGTACTGATCGCAAGAGCTCGAAAAAGATAACATATTGGTCCATAGTACCAAAATTAGTCCAACGTGAAACCTTATGCATGATCGTTTCTTTGTCACAATCCTGTCATGTGACAACAAATAAAAGTTTTAGCAAACAATGATTGAAACAAAGTGCTTGAGAACCTTGATGATGAAACACTCGTGGGTGTCTTAGCGAGTTACTCTAGAATCATACATACCTTTCACTCTCTAGTTTATGTTTGATTGGTCAAAGAAAGAAAACATCTTTCGTGCATTCCCGACAAGCAAGCGTTAACTAGAAGAAATAGAATTGAGAGCTACTTAGTTATTTTATCTAGTTGAGCAAGAGCTTTGTGTTGAATATTTTTACTTCACTAACCCTTACATAATAATCATGCCACCGCTACAACTATGCTAAGTTTTCAGGTCAAGAAGCGGAAGGCTATCTATACATACCGATTGTAAGTCCTCATACCCATGCATATTTTTATTATAGGTGTTCTCAGTGTCAACTTGATTCCGATTTGGTCAAAAGCCAAAATTATTTCTCTTGCAAAAGCTTGTTAGAAACCCTTGACTTAAAGAGTACCGTCCTATTGTGGGTTTGATAACTCAGGGTCATCTCTGTTGGGAAAAGATGAGAATCATTTTTGCTCCTTTACCGTATCACTAAAGGGACTAATCAACGATCGAGCATGGGAGATGCACGAGTGGGAGGTGGCCTGGTCCTTCATGCGAGGACCTCGCCGACCACTTGAACCCGCCGACGCATGTGGGGGACGGTGACCACCGAGGCGAATGACGACGACCCGATATGCGTTGGACGTGCGATGAGGAAGACCCGACGTGTGCACGCACAGATGAAGATTGCTGGTAGGAGGGGGGTCGGCGAGGTGGACGAAAAGAGAAGAATTAGCGTTGACTCAATCAAAGGGAAGCGCATGAGTGGCAACCGAACGAAATTTGGGCCGGTCGACCGGTGCCTAGTGTTGCCCTTTTGGAAAGGCATGAGATTTCTCTATTTTCTCTACTTGACTTATTTTTCTCAATGTTGGGGATATCGCTTATCGGGAACTTATTGGTCGACCCATGATAAGGGGTAAATCGGCCATTTTATCACCATATCGTCTGATTTATCGCTATATCGACTGATTTATCGGTTGATTTATCATACCGGTCGATTTATCATATCAGTCAGACACCAGTAAGCGATAAAACGGCCGATTTATCGGAATATCAGAAGATATCTTGAACAGTGATTTTTCCTGATCACCTTGATGATAAGTTGTTAAGGTAAGGAATTTAATGAAAGTTTCACATACACACATTATTCGGCTTTTCAAATCGTTTTCTCTAGATGCTTTAAATAATATTTCTTTTAAACAAAGTTCTTTGTCATCACTGTGTTTTCATAAAAATCAAAAGATTTTAAACATCAAATGTTTATTAGCAATTTCCATAGCATCGCACGAGGTATTATCTATTTTATTTAGATTATCAACACTTTATGGTGGTTGATTGTTTTTTCCTTTTTCTTGCTTCGGACTGTTTTCTTCGGAGGCTTACCAAAGGGAAATCAGCTTCTTCTTTTTCCCAGAGGAGACCAAATGAAATATACTCACAAGGCCCAACGAAGAAGAATCATCAGCGAAATGTAGATTATGTTGTATCACTTCCATAGCAACACTCGAGTCAGCCCCAACCCCCAATACAGGATGCAATCTGAAGTAAAGTAGCATTAACAATAGTCAGAACTGATTTTTTTTAAACTGGTAGGTACGATGGAAGCATTTGAGTGCTTGTATCACTTTGATATTCGCCTCATCTATGTTCACATGCCATAGGAGTAATGTAAACTACTCTTGTTTTTTGCGAACAAGTGGCCTAAACTACTTGTCATCAACAGAAACACGAAATGATCCGGAGATAGCTCATCGTGCCTACGAGCACTGCCTCCTGCCTCATCCACTTGTGTCACGCTTTCCGAGCTCTCGCGCATCCGTGTCAACAAGCTCCATCTGGAAGGACCACGGGAAATTCAACCAGGCAGGAAATCTGTGCTCTTGCTTGCTCAATCAAGCAACATATGTAAAACCGGCCTCTGAACGAGGAATCAATTGCTAGTAAACACGCAGCTAACACCTCAATTTCTCGACAGCGGCACTAGTAATATTCCATCGTACAGCAACGAATTAACCATTATCAACATGGAGTAAACTAAACAAGAACGACCGAAGCGATAGGACTGGACTACTGGTCGAATTTGACTACTGGCTGATGGAGATGGACTTTGTCTCAGGCCCTTCGGGGCACGAGGCGTGGGCGCAGCGGCTTCTTCATGACGACGGTGAACTCGTTCTTCTCGGCGAAGTCCACCTCCTCGCCGGGGACCTCCTGCCACTCGAACTCCCTTACCATGTTGGCCACGAAGTACTCCAGGTGGAGCATGGCGATGCCCAGCCCGGCGCAGATCCTCCGGCCCACGCCGAACGGCATCATCTTGATCTCCCGATTGCCGGTCACGTCCACCGCTTCGCCTGCGCCGCCTGGCAGGAACCGCTCCGGCAAGAACTCCGTTGGCTTCTCCCACTCCCGCTCGTCCCTGCTCATCTCGGCCACCATGAAGTTCACCGTCGCCCCCTTGGGAATCAGGTACCCGCCGACCTCCATGTCCTCCGCCGCCTTGTGCGGCAGCACGAAGTGCGCCGGTGGGTGCTTCCGGAGGCCCTCGAGCACCACCGCCTTGAGGTACGGCATCTTGTGGACGTCCTCCTCCGAGACCTCGTCCTGGTCGTCCCCCTTCCTGGCGCTGATCTCTTTGTAGAGCTTCTCCTGGATGGCCGGGTTCTTCACCAGCTCGGCCATGATCCACTGCAACCCGGTGGAGGTGGTGTCGGTCCCGGCGTCGAGGAACTCGGAACAGAGGTTGATCATCTCGTTGTCGGTCAGCGGGCGGTTTCCCTCCTCGGGGAGCTTAATGTCGAGCAGGGCGTCGACGTAGGAGTGCTCGAACGTGCTCTCTTTCTTGGGCTCGCCGCCGAGTTTCCTGTACTCCCGCCGAGCGTTGATCAGCGGCACGAACAGGTCCTTCTTCCGCCGCTGCATGGCGTGCACGTTCTGGAGGCGGTCGCGGTAGAGGTGCTTGGTCACCGACGGCAGGAAGGCGAAGACGGCCATCTTCCTCGACCTGTAGATGAGCGGCTCGCGCTGGGCGGCAGCGATCGCGCGGACCGTGGCCTCGTCGAGCCGCTCACCGAAGCACATGAGCACGAGGAGACAGAACATGGCGTACTGGAATGTCTCCACGACGGCCGCGCCGCCGGAGGACGACTCATCACGCAGCTTCTCGGCCAGCACGCGGCGCACCCAGGAGCGCGCGGGGGCGAAGAGGCGGACCCGCGACGGGTGCAGCGTCTCGGAGACGAGGTTGCGGCGCAGGAGGCGCCACACGGGGCCGTAGCTGGCGCGCGTGATGGTGTTGTCGTTCTCGCCCAGCAGCTTCAGCGAAGGGAGGGCGGGGCGGTCCGCGAGCGTGGCGCCGCGCTCGACGAGCGCCGCGTGCGCGAGGCGGCGGTCGGCGACGAAGATGGAGAGGCGGGACCCCACGCGCAGGGACACGATGGGGCCGTAGCGCTTGAACAGGCGCCGGAGCAGGGGCTCCACGTCGGCGAGCGAGTTGGTCAGCCACACCACGCTGCCCAGCACCGGCAGGGACGGCGGGCCGGGCGGGACGCGGAGGCGGCCGCCCTTGCGGCCGCGGAGGAGTAGGATCAGCGGGATGGCGAAGAGGATCGAGCCGAGAAAGATGTGCCACGTGTCCATGGCGAGCGTGTGGTGCTCTTCCGCTCTCTCCTGCTGGAATGGATGCGGAGGACTGAGATGAGGATGGTGTGGAGCAGTGCGGTTGCCGTTTTAACTAGCAGATGGAACGTGTTGATCGTGTTTACGTCATCGCCCTAGTGCTTGGAAAAGAAGCAAGGGAACGTTCGACCGTGTGCTGACGTCAGGGCTGACGAGCCCTTGGAATCTTCCAATAGTCAATCTAGATTGGCAATTTCAAATTGCTGCTCAAGGAAAGAAAAATACTCCCTCTTCGATTTTTAATCCTGGAAAATCGATAAGAAAAGGTAAATAGTAATAGCGGATAGATAGGAAAATTGGTTTTTCTTTGCGTGATATCAATGCTGCTCAAGTAACTGCCCCAGCATATAATTTGCACATTTCTGGTGATAAATTATTAATGATTTTTAGGCAATAACTGTAGTTACCTGTCATCTTATTGTAAATGTGCAATTGACTAAAAATAAAATTTGGTTGTTGATTAATGAGCACTCATTGACATACCTAATAAACAAGATTTTATTTGGTAAGCAAGTAAAACGCGTGCTGTCGAGTTGGTTTTCATGAAAAACATGGTGGGTAAAATCATAGATGTGATGTGACGTGGGTGGGGGAGGGATTATTAAAAATGAATAATTGGTTTTATGCCCCTAGTTGATCACACTCAGCAGGTTTACCTCTAGTTTTCGAAAGCACTCGTTCCCATCCAAACCACTTTGTTCGTCTTATGCTTTTGCCCTTTAACCGTTTGACTGCCACTTTGAATATTTCATAACAAATTCATACTAACTCAAAAAATGCAAATAAGATATCAAAATATTTAGAAAAACATCACCTATATGTGCATGTCATTTGCATTCATGAAAAAAGTGTTGGAAAGACCCCGTCTCAGTTTGAACTCATATGACCCGTCTCAGTTTGAACTCATATAATCTCAGCATTAACAATAAAATCCGAAGAAAAATATGAAACAAAACTACAACAAATTGAAAAAATTTGGGTGACAAACATTGATAAATGTTTTGAGTGTTTTGAAAGTTTCATAAGTAATAACATTCGTGGAAGTCGTGGCAAAAAACAAGATTCACACCCCGAAAATGCTTTTGTTTTGGGGCCTTGAAACATTGGCTAGTGTTTGCTAAAAAATTCAGAATTGTTTGAATTGTTTTTTAGTTTTTTTTTAAATTTTACTGTTCATACTGAGATCTTGTGAGCTCAAACTAAGATAGGGACTTTTCAATACTTCTTTTCATGAATGCAAATGACATGCACATATAGGTGATGTTTTTACGAACATTTTGATATCGTATTCACATTTTTCTAAATTAGTATGAATTTGTTATGAACTTTTCAAAGTGACGGTCAAACGGTCAACGGGAAAAAGTATAAGACGAGCAAAGTGGCTTGGCGGGAATGAGTGTTTTTGAACACTAGGGGTAAACCTACCGAGTGCGACCCAACTAGGGGCATAAAACCAATTATCCCTATCAAAAAATGTGGAGGGGAGGAGGCATATGTAGGAAGGTTGAAGAAAGGAAGTAGTAATAGAGGCTATGTTGTTGTTGGGGAACGTTGCAGAAAATAAAAAATTTCTACGCTTCACCAAGATCAATCTATGGGGTCATCTAGCAACGAGATAGAGGAGTGCATCTACATACCCTTGTAGATCGTGCGGAAGCGTTCAAGAGAACGGGGTTGAGGGAGTCGTACTCGTCGTGATCCAAATCGCCGATGATCATAGTGCCGAACGGATGGCACCTCCGCGTTCAACACACGTACGGTTGGGGAAGACGTCTCCTCCTTCTTGATCCAGCAAGGGGAAGGGAGAGGTTGATGGAGATCCAGCAGCACGATGGCGTGGTGGTGGAAGCAGTGGTGATCTCGGCAGGGCTTCACCAAGCTCTACGAGAGGGAGAGGTGTTGCAGAGGGAGAGGGAGGCGCCAGGGACTTGGGTGCGGCTGCCCTCCCCCCTCTTTACATAGGGGCCAGGGGGCGTCGGCCCCCTTGGAGATCCCATCTCAAGGGGGGGTGGCAGCCAAGGGGGTGGCTTGACCCGCAAGGCAAGTGGAGTGCCCCCCACCCCTAGGGTTTCCAACCCTAGGCGCAGGGGGGCCAAGGGGGGCGCACCAGCCCACCAGGGGCTGGTTCTCTTTCCACTACAGCCCATGGGGCCCTCCGGGATAGGTGGCTCCACCCGGTGGACCCCCGGAACCCTTCCGGTGGTCCCGGTACAATTCTGGTGACCCCAGAAACTTTCCCGATGGCCGAAACTGGACTTCCTATATATAATTCTTCACCTCCGGACCATTTCGGAACTCCTCGTGACGTCCGGGATCTCATCTGGGACTCTGAACAACTTTCGAGTTACCGCATACTAGTATCTCTACAAACCTAGCGTCACCGAACCTTAAGTGTGTAGACCCTACGGGTTCGGGAGACATGCAGACATGACCGAGACGACTCTCCGGCCAGTAACCAACAGCGGGATCTGGATACCCATGTTGGCTCCCACATGTTCCACGATGATCTCATCGAATGAACCATGATGTCGAGGATTCAAGTAGTCTTGTATACAATTCCCTTTGTCAATTGGTATGTTACTTGCCCGAGATTCGATCGTCGATATCCCAATACCTCGTTCAATCTCGTTACCGGCAAGTCACTTTACTCGTACCGTAATGCATGATCTCGTGACCAACCACTTAGTCACTTTGAGCTCATTATGATGATGCATTACCGAGTGGGCTCAGAGATACCTCTCCGTCATACAGAGTGACAAATCCCAGTCTCGATCCGTGTCAACCCAACAGACACTTTTAGAGATACCTGTAGTATACCTTTATAGTCACCCAGTTACGTTGTGATGTTTGGTACACCCAAAGCACTCCTACGGCATCCGGGAGTTACACGATCTCATGGTCTAAGGAAATGATACTTGACATTGAAAAAGCTCTAGCAAACGAACTACACGATCTTGTGCTATGCTTAGGATTGGGTCTTGTCCATCACATCATTGTCCCAATGATGTGATCCCGTTATCAATGACATCCAATATCCATGGTCAGGAAACCGTGACCATCTATTGATAAACGAGCTAGTCAACTAGAGGTTCACTAGGGACATGTTGTGGTCTATGTATTCACACATGTATTACGATTTTCGGATAACACGATTATAGCATGAATAAAAGACAATTATCATGAACGAGGAAATATAATAATAACCATTTTATTATTGCCTCTAGGGCATATTTCCAACAGTCTCCCACTTGCACTAGAGTCAAAAATCTAGTTACATTGTGATGAATCGAACACCCATAGAGTTCTGGCGTTGATCATGTTTTGCTCGCGGACGAGGTTTAGTCAACGGATCTGCGACATTCAGATCCGTATGCACTTTGCAAATATCTATGTCTCCATCTTGAAAATTTTCACGAATGGAGTTGAAGCGACGCTTGATGTGCCTGGTCTTCTTGTGAAACCTGGGCTCCTTGGCAAGGGCAATAGCTCCAGTGTTGTCATAGAAGAGTGTGATCGGCCCTGACGCATTGGGTATGACTCCTAGGTCGGTGATGAACTCCTTCACCCAGATTGCTTCATGTGCTGTCTCCGAGGATGCCATGTACTCCGCTTCACATGTAGATCCCGCCACGATGCTTTGCTTGCAACTGCACTAGCTTACTGCCCCACCATTCAAAATATACACGTATCCGGTTTGTGACTTAGAGTCATCCAGATCTGTGTCGAAGCTAGCATCGACGTAACCCTTTACGACGAGCTCACGGCAAACATATCCTTAGTCCTTTTCAGGTACTTCAGGATATTCTTGACCGCTGTCCAGTGTTCCATGACGGGATTACTTTGGTACCTTCCTACCAAACTCACGGCAAGGTTTACGTCAGGTCTGGTACACAGCATGGCATACATGATAGACCCTATGGCTGAGGCATAGGGGACAACACTCATCTTTTCTCTATCTTCTGTCATGGTCGGACATTTAGCCGAGCTCAATTTCACACCTTGCAACACAGGCAAGAACCCCTTCTTGGACTGATCCATATTGAACTTCTTCAATATCTTATCAAGGTATGTGCTTTGTGAAAGACCTATGAGGCGTCTCGATCTATCTCTATAGATCTTGATGCCTAATATGTAAGCAGCTTCTCCAAGGTCCTTCATTGAAAAACACTTATTCAAGTAGGCCTTAATGCTGTCCAAAAGTTCTATATCATTTCCCATCAAAAGTATGTCATCCACATATAATATGAGAAATGCTACAGAGCTCCCACTCACTTTCTTGTAAATGCAGGCTTCTCCATAAGTCTGCATAAACCCAAACGCTTTGATCATTAAAGTGAATGTTCCAACTCCGAGATGCTTGCACCAGCCCATAGATGGAGCGCTGGAGCTTGCATACCTTGTTAGCATTCTTAGGATCGACAAAACCTTCCGGCTGCATCATATACAGTTCTTCCTTAATATGGCCATTAGGGAATGCCGTTTTGACGTCCATTTGCCATATCTCATAATCATAGTATGCGGCAATTGCTAGCATGATTCGGACGGACTTCAGCTTCGCTACGGGAGAGAAAGTCTCATCGTAGTCAACCCCTTGAACTTGTCGATAACCCTTAGTGACAAGTCGAGCTTTATAGATGGTAACATTACCATCCGCATTCGTCTTCTTCTTAAAGATCCATTTGTTTTCTATCGCTCGCCGATCATCGGGAAAGTCTGTCAAAGTCCATACTTTGTTTTCATACATGGATCCTATCTCAGATTGCATGGCTTCAAGCCATTTGTTGGAATCTGGGCCCGCCATTGCTTCTTCATAGTTCGAAGGTTCACCGTTGTCTAACAACATGATTTCCAGGACAGGGTTGCCATACCACTCTGGTGTGGAATGTGTCCTCATGGACCTACGAAGT